CCATCCAGGCAGGGCACCAGAACACAGCGCAAACCCCGAAGATCAGGAGGCCCCACGAGGGTTCTTCCCAGGGGACCCCGTGTACACCAGGAACTACGCCCGGGGTCCCACCTGGATTCCGGCAAGAGTTGTCCGGGTGACAGGACCCCTCTTCTATGAGGTCTCCTGCAAAGACAGGAGCCACCGCCTCCTCCCCACAGACCTGGACATGCCTGATAACAGCCAATACGACAGCCTGAGTTCCAGGGAACCAGAGGCAACCACTCCAACACATCCAAGGGCAAGCGTTCTACCTGGAGGGGAGGACAGTGGCAACTCAGAACCAACAGGCAGCCAAGAGCCTAGCAGCACACCAGCCCCAGCAGAGGTCCCAGTGGCCAAGGTCCCTTCCCCGGAACTGACAAGAACATTGCCAGAGAGCCCAGCCCTGGCTCCAGACATACTAGGGAGCGGAGGAGGCCCACTTACCTCAAAGACTATGTCAGCTAGGGGGGATCTGGACCTTGGTGTTGTGTACCAAGGGAGACCGTGCACGCAGTCGGGCTTGCACATGGCCATGCGGACAGGTTAAGCTTCACATCCGAAGACAGTAGAAGCTGAGGATCCAAGAGCTAGCCAATCAGCCAGCCTGGATCCTAAAAGGAACCAATGGTGGGAGTTGTTTGTAAATAAACCTATCACAGGTATGGGTGGGTGCGTTGGGTGTGGTCAAGAACGGGAATATAAGCGGGCCATGTGTCCCGCTAGTTATCTCAAATTCTCCTATGCATGAATAAAGTATGAGCTGAAATCACTACACTATGGCTCAGTCTCAGTACTTTATAGCTACTATTTTAAAAATGGTTGGGTTTCACCCATTTTCTAGGTGTGCAGCTGAGAATTCCCTCTTAAGCATTCTAAATTCTGTGTTTCCTGTAAAGGAACAGCCTGCCCTACAGACCATGGAGTGTTTCATTGCATTGTGTTGAGGCATTGTCATATGCATGCACAAATGGTAGCCAGGGTGGGACCAAAGTATGCTATACTGCAGCTGCACCACTGATTTTGGCCCACCTGAAATCAGGTTGAAAACAGAACTTTTAGATACATGATATTCAATTTTTTAAAATGAGAACTAGTTTTTAGAATAGGAGTATTTCAGGTTTTTAAAAGAATATATGGTGGCTGGTATCGCTCCAAAAGTGATAATGCTTTAAACTTCACCCAGCTGACCCACCCATCTCTGGTCATCCAAAATTTCCCTAGCCCAGGATAGATTTTTTTCACCACAGTCTCTGTCATGCTAAAGATATTGTGATGGGTAATGCTTTAAAGGGTCAAGACACAACTTAAGGAAGTTTGTTATTTAAAGAAAGCATTATAAACTGGTAGAGCTGAGACTAAAAATAACTTTAATTAAATGATAAAGAATTTCTTACTATTGCAGCTTGTACACTTCTGATACTAACAATCTATAGACACTAAAATACACATAGACAATTGAGCTTGGCAGCAGGATTATAAAACTTCTCAGTAAATCACTGATTTTATGTTTGCTCATTTGAAACCTGAACATATGTCAGACCCACATACTAAAAATGGCTGGCTAATATTGTTATGACCATCCATCCATCTAAATTCTCATTTTGGTCAAATCTGTGGATACTTAAAATCCAGGAATTGTAGTAATTAACAGACAAGACAAATCTGTCTACAAACCTCAGAAAAGCCATCAGGTTTGCAGAAAAATCTTTTAAAAATTCACTGGGGGTTAAAAACAAAGAAACCAAAATAATATAAGTGGTGCCTGTAACTGAAAAAACAAATGCCCTCTAGCCTTTTTCAGGGCTGCATTAGCCTTTGAGAGAGGACTCATTAGGCCAGGCCCTGCAAGCATGGGACCTGCCAGACTCACTGAGGCCCTGCTGCTTACTACTGTTCAACAGGAGACACTTGATAACAGCCAGTGTAGTGCAGTGGTCGGTGTTTTACACTAGGATCTAGGAGACTCAGGTTCAAATCCCCACTCCACTATGGAAGCTCACTTAGTGGCTTTGGATCAGGGTAGCCAGACCCCGGGTCCCAGCGGGGTTCCCCCGCTTTGGGGTGGGTTGATCTGCTGGCAGCCAGCTGGCCGGCAGCGGAAACATCACCCCCCAGACAAGGATGTTGTCACTTCCAGGTGACATCATTGCACCAGGGATGTTGTGTGGCGACACTCTGGTTTTTGGGCAAACTGTATGGTTTTGAAGGCAAAAAACCCAGAGAGTTTTGCCCCCAAACCAGAGCATCACACGTGACACCATCACTTCTGGGTGATGTCATTGCATTGGGGACGTTGCACACAATGTCCCACCCACCCCTGGAATGCCCCCCAAATTCCCCTGCTGCGATGGCGAGGGGATCTGGCAACCCTACTTCAGATCCATCAAGCACACTCAAGCTAACCTACCTCACAGGGTTGTTTTGAGGATTACATGGAGGAGAGGGGAATCATGTAAGCTGCTTTGGGTCTGCATTGTGGAAAACAGCAGGATATAAATGAAGTAATACATATAGCTGAAGGAAGATGGGGGCAGATAAAAGCTCGGTTGGTTGGTGGATGGAAAGGAGAGAAAGAGGCAGGGAAAGGTGATGATGTGGGGGCTGCCAAGTGGAGGGAGAAGGGGGAGGAGATACAGAGAAAAAAGACATACCATCTCCCAAAAGGCTTGCAGGATTCCCACCATGCAACTGGGCCTGATTCAGCCAATTCTGTGTAACTGGGCTACAATTTTCCTAGGGAGAAGCTGCCAGGAGGAGGGAAACAGCTGGCCAGATAAAGGTGGATGGGTGGAAAGAAGAAAAGGAAAAGGGGAGAAGCTATGGGGACTACCAGGGAAGGGAAAGAGGAAGAGTGATGAGGGGGAAATCCCATTGCCTCTATGGGTCCAAACTTTGTGTGTTTTACTGTTTTGACTGATAACCAGTGCCACATTGACTGAATTTTGTATTTGACCTCGACCCTCATTATATGTTGTTCCCTGCATATACTTTAGCTACTATACATTAGTTTTCATTTAGGTAAATGTGACTCTGAATTAGTGACAGAGATGAAGCAGGGCTTCTCTAAATAGCTTGAATGAATAAATGGATTTTATTAAGCAAATAAATGAACAAACTATTTCAGTTCAGCAGAGATCTTACAACACTATCAATATGAATTTCTTCTGCCTCTAACCACAGAGAAGAAATATATGGCATGCAGAACATGGGTGAAGAACATCTTGAATGCCATATTGTAATGTGTCTGTATTTTTCTTTTGGGTTATAACTAGGATTTACATTACAGCCTAGTCTGTACAATTGTGGCAATTAAAATAATTGCTTATTTCCAGAAGCCTGCTTGCTTAAAAACTGCTGAATATTTGTTGGCAAATATTATTAGCTAATTAAGGGGCCTTTGTGTGTAGAGTTTAAAGAAGAGCTTTGCCAAAGAGTAGGACAAGGATCCAAAGAACTGTGAAAATAATTGTCCCCGAAGTAACTTCTGTGTTTTGAGCAGCCACGTGATATGTTATTTTTGAAATGCAGGAGGGGGTTCTGCCTTTTTTTTTTAAAGGCAAAAATCCCACTCTGTTTGGATTGGCTTTAAATAAATAATTATTTGGACCCCAAGATTAATAGAGGAGTAAACAGTTACTCCCAGGACGGAAACCCAGTCTTGTCAGATCTTGCAAGCTAAGTAGGAAGCCTTAGGAAGTCTCTGAAGAGGAAGGCAATGGCAAACCACCTCTGCCTCTCACTTGCCTTGAAAGCCCCTTGCTGGGGTTGCCATGGGTCAGTTGCATATGTACATAAGGAGTTACTGTTCCTGACCTTAGTTTTTCTGCTTTGCTTTCACTTAACACTTTGTTATGTCAATATCCTACAAAGAAAGATACATAGCTGGATAGACAAAAGATACATAGCTGGATAGACAAAAGTATTCAGACATTACACAAGCAACACAATGTTAATTTTGAAAGCTAGTCTGTATATAGGACTGCCACTTTAAAATTATTAAAGGGGGATTTTTTTTATTTGTACAATAAAATCATTAAAGAGATGCTTTAATCAAGGAAAATAGGTGACATGAGAATCTGCAAGGACCAAGGGGAAAGTAAAATATTATCAGTGCAAGACAATAAGGCTCCTCAGCAGTGAATATATTTACGCGGCATTAGCACCACTTGTTTTAAGGGAAATTACATCCAGGAAGGTATGCTTAGGAGTACAGCTCCAGTATTCCTACTAGAAAAAAGCAGCCAGATTAAAACACAAAATTCTTACCTGCCATCAGGTAGAAATTGCCTGTTTCAAAATCACCAAGAAAAATACGTTTCTGGAAATAATCTCGGATTTATCCTTTCAGCCACAACTTCATCTTCCAGTTTGATTCTTTGAAACCACTTCAGATAACTGTATACTTTACTATAGAGTAGAAGAGACATACTTTAATGAAGCTGCTAGATATCAACAAGCGGCTAGGGCAGTTTCCGTTCACTGGGCATACTCAGCAGCATCTGTTTGCTGGTCATCTGAGAAGATCTGATAGAGGCAGACTTAACCTGATCGTTTCTGAGGATAAAAGAACATATTTACAGCAAGCAACGTTGGGATTCACTTCAGAAAGGTGATGTTCACTTTCTCAAGAAAATTAATATACATCAGCCTGATACCACAGGTGCAGATAAAATGTTTCTAATATACTGGGGCTTGTTACCAAAAATTGCTACTAAAATCAAAAGCATACCAAGAATGGTGGGAGAAAACTAAAGATTTATATGAAGTTATTTTGGAAATGCTCTTCTGCTGGGGAGGGTATATGTGTGTGTGCGTGTGTACACACTATGTTCCTTCCAGTGCAATGGTTTCTCTTTGAAAGTTATGTTTAATATAGTGGTCACTGAGTTTCTTTTAAAGCATATTGTGTATGTAAACAAAAATGGAAAGATAGCTGCTTCTTTTTTCAATTCTATGTAATCCCATCAATTTTACAGCACTGGGCAACATCCTTCACAGGGCCTTTCAATGGAAGAGATGAGGAGAAATTTTCAGTATCCACCTATTGACAGAAATGGTAAGTTCTCAGATTAACCAAAGATCAGTTCTGTTAATGGCTGATCCCTTTTCTTTATAATGAAGCAGGTGCTACTTAATCATGAAAGTATACTGAAAACCATAAAAAACAATTTCATAAAAATGTCTGGGGATTTTGCCACTACTACTAAATGTAGAAGTAAAAGCATTCCAAAATGGCATTTCAACATTCACAAATCTAACCATAGCTAAGATTCTTCAGATACATTTCAACAATTCCCATGTACATCTGAGAGCAATTTGACCCATTGCATTATTTAGGTTTACACATAGGATATATTAAATGCCCACCTAAAAATGTAATGAGAGTGTGAGAGACATGACTTTGGAAAGATGGTGCTTGTTTCATAAGTCTATGGGCTGGATCCTGTGACTTCCTTCCACTAGGACAGTGCCCCTCAGATAACAAAAAGGAATCATAGCATCAGATCCACCATCTTATCTCCCTTATAAATAAAAGCCGAAGGTGGTGGCACTTCTCTAGAACATTCCACACGCACCAAAATCAGTTCGCTCTCTGATCTGTCATTCAGAAGGTCTCCCTGTCCACTGGCTGCTTTGCCTGAGTCCTGCCTCCAACATTCTAAACATTTTACTGTTCCTCTCCCACCCATAGCCAGTCAGAACACAGAGGTTATTTGCATATGCAGCCTCATTGGCCTTTGCCTCGGAACACAGAGGTTGTTTGCATATGCAACTTGATTGGCTTTTGCCTCTAACACTCTAAATAGTTTTCTGTTCTGAGGTAAAATGTGTCCAATCTTCAGGTGAGGGCTGGAGATCCCTCAGAATTACAACTGCTTTCCAGATGGCAGAGATCAGTTCCCCTGGAGAAAATGGTGGACTCTGTATCCTTATATGCTGCTGAGGTGGCCCCCATATGACAGCCAATGTGACGTAGCAGTCAGGGCTTCAGAGCATGGGAGAGGCTGCAGGTGTGTGGGGGGGTGGAAAGCTGAAGAGTGAGGGGGAAATAAAGGTAGGTTGATGGTTGGCTGGGCAGGAGATAGGGTTGCCAACTCCAGGTGGGAAATTCCTGGAGAGGTGAGGGATGGAGCCTGGAGAGGGTGAGGATTCAGGAGGCGTGGGACCTCGGACAGGTACAAAGCCATAGACTGCACCCTCCAAACCAACTATTCCCTTCTGGGGAACCATCATTGCCAATCTCCAGGTGAGGACTGGAGATCACTCAAAATTACAACTGTTCTTTAGGTAGCAGAGATCAGTTCCTCTGGAGAAAATGGTGGACTCAGTGTCATTATACCCTGCTGAGGTCGCCACAGCAAATTGACACTGAGTGTCCAAGGCCGGGGCATCCGCCCAGAGCTTCGTTCTAGAGGCCGTTGTATTTATTTCCACAACGGGCCTTTTTCCTAGTATTGTTATAAACAGCTAAGGTTCATGAGAACACATCCATGTTTGAGCTTGGAGTGCAAAAGGAAATATGATAGTCACTATAGTTGTATTCAGCTGCACCAAGCAATTATCTTGTAAAGCAGCTGAAATCTGGCATTCTTGATCCACTGCTCAGAATGTCTTCCAATTATTGTTGTTGTTGTACATCCATTTTTAATATCCTAATACACCATTGCCGTCAGAGTACTGTATGATGTCTAGGAAGATGGGAGCACTTCTCATTGCGGCATCTAGGCACAAGGGCTTTGCTTCAGGTTGTTTCAGCTCTCTTTCAGATTTCTGCAGTCCAGACTCTATTGCACTGTTTTATTGAACATCCCTTGCTGTTGACTGTACTATGTAACCTGCCTTGCCTTGATTCTCCATGAAAAAGGTAGACTATAAATAACATATATAAATAAATAAGGAAGGGAGTGGCTAGAATTCCAGAAAATCTTAAACAGAAGTACTTTATGTATCCTGGACTTGTACTTTCTCTTAATGTTCTTACACAGTGTGGCTTTTCAGAAGCCAAGGACATAGTGGCAGAAATATATTCTCCTCCCCCCACCAGTATCTAAACTCTGCATGTGCTTGTACAGACGTGGCAACTTGTGAAACCCAGCATGTATTTTTTTTAATAAAGATTTTATTGACTCTCCTAAAAAGGGGAGGTATTTCGCTTGAAAAAAAAATGGGGGGGTATATAGTGGGAGAAAGAGAAAGCTGAGTGATATATTAACTGGTAAATTAAGCTGTTAGTAATGTCCAAACATTCTTCTTAGGCTTCTTCTGTGTGTTGTCAAACATCTTTTTTCAATTCGGTCACAAGTAGTTCTATGTTAGTATGTTAGTAATGTTCCTTTGAATTTCTGTTAAAAAGTCTCTTCAGGGCGCATTCAGAACCACTTCTTTGCGTGCTGGTTACTTTTACACTCCCGGTAACATGGAGGAGCTTCCTCTGTATTCCTCTCCTTCCGGCTTTTTTCAATCATCCTTCGGGTTGCTGTTAACTCTTTCAGTTCATGTGCTATAAATCCTCTTCATTTCATGCCATTTCAGGAGGTCTCCAGCTTTGAGAATGGTATTAAATTTCAATTTCGCTTTTATCCGCTCCCAAACTCTCCGCTGGATCCTCCTCCGCAACTATTGACTTTTATAAGCGCTTACAAGGCACTTCTCGCTGTCACAGTTCAAACTTTTCCGTTTTTCACAATCCCCCGTCAGATTCACAGCCATAAACAATCCAAGTATTAAGCAGCTGGCTCTCACAAAGCAAACGCCCAGACGGAAGTCCCTCCCTTCTTCTCCGCTTGCCTTTATCCAGCTCCGACATCTTTTTTCTTTTTGTTTATTTTTAATAAAGTTCTTAAAATGCGCTCCCGAGAAACAAAACTTTTTCTTGCTTTATTTCAAATACATCAAAGGAAAACACCACTATTCGCTCAGTCCATTCCCCCCCTCCTTTTCTTTTTCGCTTATGCAGTTAGAGGGTTACCTCCTCGTCTTTTTCGCTGGGGGGGGGGAAGCGGTTTTAGTTCTTTTTCTCTGCATTTTGACAACTCACAGTTAAGCCGATCTTTTCTTTTCCATTTTTTTCGGATGATCGCTTTATCACTCGCTGACGTCTGGTGGCTCCGCTAAACCCTGTGAAACGGGGTCGCTCACGCAGCAAGGTCCGTTGGGGCAGCGCATGGCGGGAGCCTCAGTCTCCGACCTCTCGGCTGAAAGAGAGACTCCCCCCTGTAGCGCCCTAAAGCGCCCCGGATCCGAGCTCCTCTCTTCCTGAGGGGCTCGTTCGGGTCTCCGCTCACGCGGATTCCCTCCTCCACCGCGGGCGGGCGAGACGCCCTCGGGAGTGACCCGAGGATGCGTCCGCCATTCGCAGGAGCCAGACCGGAAGCCAAACCCAGCATGTATTTTTGTCACCAATAAATTCTTCTGGCTTGTGATGACCATGAAGTCTAACAGGGATGATTCAACCTGTCAGAAGCTCTCCTCAAGGCCTTTCATTGGAAGAGATGAGAGAAATTTTCAGTAACCCCCCTCTCAGAAGTTTATGGTTCTCAGCTTGCATAACAGCATAACTGTTTTATAGGAAATCCTAAGCAGTGTTACACCTTTGCAGTCCCAACACCAAAGCGCCTGTGAGACTGTGAGGCAAAACTACATACAAAATTACATGCAAGAAATAACAGACACCTTGTTTGAGAACTTATAGTGGCCACAACTTTATTGGTTGCAGCTGACAGAGCCTTGGTGCCAAATAAGGATAACTAATCCAGGCATCAGCCAACCCACCTACTGGCCAATGTACCTGCTGGGGGACATCATGGAAAGGCAGCACACGAGATTCCACATGGGCACAAGCCACTGCATGGTTTCCCTTGACAGTGAGCTGGGCATGCCCAGCTCCCTACAAGCCTTCACTCCATAATCCCATAAGAGGTTCCAAAAGTTGGGGAAATGGGCATGCAGGCTGGACTTCCTCCCAAAATGGATATGGCCCCATGCTGACACTGCCACAAGAGATAGGTGAGGAGCCCACTCAGCTCCTGCCAAAGCTCCTACAGCTGCAACCAACCCTGCAATTGATGTCAAATCCCATGCAGCCAGATGTCCTGGCCCCACTTTGAGAGATGGACACCTTCCAGATGGAATATGCCTCCTACCAAAAGGAAATGTTGGGATGACAGATCAGGGGACATCGACAAGACCTCGACAATGTGGCCCACCACATTAGTGACCTTCCTCCTGGCCACACCCACCTTGTCCGGACCCCACCAGGAGCACCTCTCCAACATGTCAGACCAAAAATGCTGTGTGCTGGGTTGTTGAGAAGACAGAGACCACAGGTCACACTCTACCATTCATGTTAAATCTGGGCTCTTGTGAGTGCCAAGGTCGTTCTCACCAAGCTGGATGAACAATGCATGGGGGGGCCTGCTCCAGTGGATATAATGAATGGGTATATCTGGGGGATATGAGTGAGTCTCAAAGCATCCCTTCACACCAATCCAGTTGATATGTAGTGTTCCAAACTCAGGTGCCTACCCCAGCTAGTAGACACTGCATAGTCTTTAGCGCAGTGCACAGTGCTGTGCCCACAAATCCAGACTTCAGAGGAGGTGTTGAAACTAGAATAGGAAATCATTAGCAGCCAGCCCACAAGTGCAACAAAATGCAAGTTTTATACACAGAGGACCTCCACCTCCTAATTCCCTGGATGCAGCCATGTGGTGTAGGAGGTGCCTTCTCCCCAGCATGCAGCCAAGGAATTGAAGCTCCTCCAAGCCCCGATGGTCCCACCGCTGCGATTTTAGCAATGGACCTAGGGACAAGCGAGACTGGGACACTGGGACAAGCGAGTAGAGGTTGAGCGCTATTTTATCTGATGGCGAGATCTACATTGAAAAGTGAGTCCAGTCAAAGCAGACAATCCAAAGAAAGCAGCTAAATAAACGTCCCCCTAAAATAAGCGAGGGGGGAGGGAATTCACCCCACGAGAAATAAAGCGTGCTGAAAAGCATTTTAAAAGAGGGGACGAAACTAAAAACAGTAACAGACTATTATAGAGAGCTTTAG